GCGGAGGGTTCTCTTCAAGATCATGAGAATCTGCATCATCTTCGTGGCTCTATATGGCCACGATCTATTGTTCGAAGACCGCATGTGTGACTCCGCATACTCATGGCTGGAACTTCGTCAGCCTCCTTCACCAACCAATGATACACACATTCATCATGCGGATTTGAGGCATCACTGACAGACGTTCAGGTGGACTACGTGACATATATACATGAGTGCATACACACATATGTATAGATAGATGAACAGACAGTCTGACTAATTAAATGACATACCAACTGATTGCTTGCATGGTTGAACAATTGACTGCGTGAGTGACTTAATCAGACATCTTTGTTCCTCCCAGAGAGCAGGCGATCATTTTGACGTGAGGCCTATGCTGGAAAGGGAGTGTTGACCCTCGTCTCTTGGTACCAACCGGTTAAGAATAATAGAAATCAAGAAAACAGTTGTTTTCAGCCAGAAGAGCTACAAGCTATGCTTACAATTTGCCTATTTTACGATGGCTCCTGGCCTACTCACGGAGCCAGACAGGATGCAATACAATATATATGAAAGCACAAATAGGTCAAAAGGACAAATGATCTCTTTATGGGCTTCATAATTTAATAATTTATTAGCATAATTAACCGGAAATATGACAAGCTGCTTAGGCTTCACCTTTGGACGAACAGCTGATGGAGGGCAAGGTTTCTTTTTAAATTTGGATTTGGCATAAACTTTAATTTCCCATAAAAGAACGGGACGACTGGCTTGATTGGAGGCTGAGGTGGTGGCGGCTGATCCGTCCATGCTGGAGTGGAAAGACTGGCTGGCTTGTCTGTAGGATTCCACTTTTTCACTCTTTCCCAGCTCCCTACTAAGCTCTACCACAGCTTCAATACTGCCTGGGCCTAAAAAACACACATTTTAGGCGGAGTCGAACAGGCAGTTGGGTCGGATTTGAGCCCACTTTGGGGACACATGCAGCAGTAAAAGTCACCGTTTATGGTAACTTGTTTTCTACAATCCAGTGATTGATCACTCTAATGCTTAGGAAGGTACAGTTTGTGATAAGTACACATTTTAAAAATAATACTTTTCTTTCCTCTTAAACCATCATTCCACATTTACTTGACAGCGTCAAGTTCATGTTGGGTTTCTGACACTCCTGACGCTTAATCATGCTTTCACATTCCATCCATCGCGCTGGCGAGCTCAAATCTTGCATGAGTTAATGAAACATGGTAAGCTGATACGGTGAGTAAAGTTGACGAGAAGGAGAGTTCATTTCCGCTTCTCACAGTCTTCACAAAATAGCCAGAGACCTTTTTAGGACACTCTGAATCTAATTGCCAATGGACAGAAGTTGAGTGTGAGGAGGCCATTTGACGGGTTAACTGGGATTAGTGGGAAAAATGAAATTTGATTTTTCCCCATTAGTCTAACTATGGCTTATATTCATTGTCAATGGGAATTATATGAATAAGCATGAATCATTTTGAATCTATGACCACCCCTTTCATAATGAGTTTGGCTTCTTGAAACTCCGATCGGCAAGATATAAAATTAATGATACAATGAATGATGCGCATGGTAGCTAAAGCTTAGTTCGCTCAGTTCTTAAAATCATAATAAATGAGCAAGAATATCTGTACGCAAATCGCGGATGACCCCATGAATCAACTTGCCAATGGTTGGAGGCCAAATGTGGCAGTATGAAGAAAGACTAAGCTTCAAGGAATTATTTGGTGATTTATTTTGCTATGACTTTCCATTTAGAAAGAAAAGTTAGTTGGAGCATTGTTTTCGCAATCATCCTTTCACGTGACATTGTCAACAGTTTTTGTGACATGACTTTCCACATAGAAAAAAAATTCGTTGGTGGGGATTCGTGAAATGTTGGTACCGGAAACCGAAGGAGGCTTGCCAGGGAGTGAAGACTTTTTGATTTTGCGAAGAAGTCCTCGGTTCAGCGTCCTGCTAAGCTTTCTTCGGTATCGTCGTGACAGAGGTGGTCATAGCAAGAGGGCATACTTCATGAACTGACGCAAAAATATGCTAAAACAAGGAAAATAGTATATTCTTGCGCTATTTCATAAAGTATGCATTCTTGCTTTGATGATGCGTTTCACGGCAATAAATGCGAAAGTTTAGCACAGGTTCATCCGAGTCGCAGGACTTTGAGACGAAGACTTCTTCGAACAATCCAAAAGTCGTCATTCCTACTTCGGTTTTTCGGTTAGAACATTTCGCCAATTCCTTCCAACCAACTTTTCCTTCAGAATGGAAAGTTACGTCACAATCAATTTGACATTGTCATGCGACAGGATATATTTCTTGAAAACATTGCTCATGATGATCGAGCGGGATCGGGCGAAAACGGCTTGGTTTTGCGATCTAAAGGTAGAACTGGAAGATGAAATCACTTATTCAAGCGTAGAAGCAATCATACAACTTCTATAAGAGCTGTATCCACCCCATTTCGTTTAAGATGGTGAGGGACTGGTAGTTGAATTTTCACACAATCTGACGAATAGGCCTTATGTTTCCATTGTGGTTCACATAGCCTTGTTTCCCTAAAAGTATCGTCATCCAGACTGGGGTAGGCTGCAGTTTTGACCTCGCATGAACTGGTCTCATTAGCATCCCCAGACATGCTCGAACCCGGATTGTGGCAGTGCAGCGTATAATCTTGATGTCTCATACCACTACGCCAAATTGCCACGAGTGCCCTTAGGCCACAAATTAGATGTGGGAATGAATTTCCCATATCAAACTCTGTAGTGGCGCTGTTGATGAAGCCAAGTTTTATTTGCTATTCAAATGGACTACATTAATTTCTTTTCGTTTATTATTTGGTCTTCGAGATTACCAGTCCTTAATCACCTTAAACGAAATAGGGTGAACACAACTCACAAGCCTACTTATAAACCTACTTATAAGCCTACTTATAAGCCTACTTATAAGCCTACATAATAGTTTGGCTTTAATAAGGCTGAGATAATCCACGAGACAGCCCAATTCATTTGGGATGAAAATGGACTACGCTTTCGTCCATCATGTGACGGACATTATCAGAGCTGCAACTTATCCTTGTCGAAGTTATTAGTCAACACTAAATCAGTATTATGAAATGTATTCACCCTATTTCGTTTAAGGTTGAATTTATGACAATCCCACGGGTAGAACTTAGATTACTGTTTAATTTCACATTAATGTCATATAGATGATCTACTGGTAGTCTCGTCCTCCTAACTATAAAAACTAAAATTAAGTAGTGTAGTTGAGGGCTATAGCAAATATCATTTTGCTTCGTACATAATCCTACCACTCAGTCTAATATGGGAGAATGCCTGACCTGCCTTGAAATTCACATCTGCCCTATGAAACAAGGGCACTTTTAGCTGTCCGACGTAGTAAGCAACCTGTCTCATATAAGAAATCATGTTAACCTTTCAGATAGCATTGATATACACTTGAGTGTACTTGGTTGGTATTTTACATTTTTAAGCAACCCTGCAGAATGTACGCCAATATCAATCCTTCTTTTCGGTACAGTTTGGTCAAATCTGAATGGTTTTAGGCACCGTTTACCACCTGAAATGACTAAACTTTATTTGGTGTTCAAGATATGAAGACCAAGATGTTGTGGCCTCTGGTATGGTCGCAGTCTCCTTTCGATTTATACAAATGAGTTGACCTCGTTGTCGCAACTTGGTCTTGTTGTCAGGGCGACTTAGTAGAACGCACCTAGTCCG